CTACGGTCTCTGCCAGGCGCCTCGCGAGTGGCACGACACACTGAGGATGACGCTTGCGGCTCTTGGGTTAGCTCCTTCGACTGCTGACCCGTCGTTGTTTCTACGCACCGACACTTCGCTGCCGCCGTTCTACATCCTTGTGTACGTCGAAAACTTGTACCTGACCTTGCTTACCCCCTTAGCATCTTGGCACGCTACGTTGCACCCGGGAGACACCGACCAGAGCACTGGAAGGCCGCTAAGTTGGTGATGTGCTACTTGTGCAGTACGTCGGGCATGGAGCTCGTGCTTGGAGGACGGGCTCGAGTTGTCCTCACTGGTCACGCAGACGCTTATTGGGTTGACGACTTGGCTACGCAGCGGTCGTCACAGGGTTACACCTTTAGCCTTGGCTCCGGCTCTGTTTCATGGCGGTCTACCTGCTTTTCTTCTATTCTCAGTTCCAGTTGTGAGGCTGAGATCTACACAGGGGCCATGGCTGCACAGGAGTTACGCTGGCTCACCAACCTGCTAACCGGCTTGGGAGAGCCGCCTCGTTCTCCTCCAATTCTGTACGTCGACAACAAGGCCATGATTGCCTTGTGTGAGGAGCACAAACTGGAGCACAAAACGAAGCACATCGCTCTACGCTACTTCCTTGCTCGAGAGTTGCAGCAGCGAGGTCAGCTTCGTCTTGTTTACGTGGCCTCTCAGGCCAACACTGCTGATATCTTCACCAAGGCACTTCAGCCTTGTGATCATCAGCGTTTTTGTACTGCTCTAGGCTTTGTGCCTTCTTTACCCCACTTGCTCACTTCTTGACTTTGCCTGTACTGTGATCTATATACTTATTCGTGCATGCTTACTCTTACCAGGTTGTGATCATTGTACTGCTTGTTCTCCTTTATATATATAACTGTGCATGTGAACTGGCCTTATGGCCATTCGCGTGTGCTCAGAATGCGTGGTGACTTCGTGATCCACCCTGAGCTTGCTTTTCTTTTCTTGACCGGTCTTGTGACCTCTTGTTCTCTCCCACTTTGCCTATGGGGGTGTATCAAACTTATATGCTGCTTATTGTGTAGGCTGTAGTGGGGTAGCCCATATGGGGTACAACCCAATTAGGGTTTCCTACTTGTACCCATCTTGCTGATAGTTCATTCATTGCTCTTCGTACTTCTGACAATGGGCAATGATGAGCGTACTGTAATCTCTTGGCAAGAAGACCCCCTCTCCTCCCCCCCCACTTCCCGCATAAAAGCCGAATGTGTCTTCTTTACAACATAAGGGTCTCTTATTCTGTCAATCCTGGTGAGGACCCGTCTTTTCACAACATAAATATTAAGACCACCATCTTTTGCGATATGTTGCATAATCTCAAGAGTGATGCATAGCGGAATGATGATGACTAGCAAGGTGGGAGATACAAAAGCTAAACCTTTAAATTATTGTACTCCCTACATTCCTACTCACTATAGCCTATCTATATAGTGTATAGCGTTTGACTCACCCCCATAGGCTAATTGAGGGGCATCAAAACAAACAAAAGAAACGAAAGGTCACAAGACAAGTCAAGAGAAATAACAAGGCAACGCTCAGGGTGGATCTCAAGATCACCACACATTTCGAGCACAAGAAAACGGCTACAAGGCCAGTTCAAGAGTTCACAAATATATGCAAGGACAAGCGGAGCAAGCGGCAAGAAAGAATGTTACAGCAACCTAGCACCAATGTCAACAAGGCCTAACTACGGACAGAACCTGTGGTGGTCACTAGGCACTAAGGCCTTGGTGAAAATGTCTGCTGTGTTGGCCTCTGGGGCCACGAAGTCCAAGTGTGCATGACAGCATGGCTGCAACTCTCACAAGAGAAAGTACCTCACGACAATGAGCTTCATTCTACTCTCCAGTCGAGGCTCTTGACATTGGAGGATCCTGGCCTTGTTATCAGCAAACAAGGTCGGTGCAGAGCGAGGCCGCTCACCAAGGTCGGCGAACAAGAAAGTCAACCAGCAAAGCTTCTGCGCAGCCATGGCACCAACGTAGATCTCTGCCTCTGTATTAGACGAAGCCACAGATGACGACCAAGTAGAACTTCACGACACAGCTCCAATGCCCAAGCTGAAGCAGTACCCATGACTGGACCTCTGTGTCTCCACGTCGTTGGCGTAGGAAGAGTCGTAGTGACCGGTCAGAATAACTGGCTTTTCTCTCCAAGCACAAGCCCCATTCCTCGTGTAGTTGCCAGGTATTTCGCCACCCTCATAGCAGCTGTCCAGTGAACATGACGGTGTCTCCCAGCCGCAACAAAGTGAGAGAGGACACTAAGAGGAAAGGCGAGGTCCGGATAAGTACAAGTCATCAGGTACATGAGGCAGCCCACAAGCTCTGTGTAGGGACCACTAGACTCAAAGGGTTCGTCGGGAAAAGTGTTGGAGAGTCTGTAGTCAACGGCAAGGAGTGGGCTGTGTGGTGGAGTGCTGAAGCCCGAACTGCTGAAGGATATGCTGCACCATGTGTGACTGTGAGAGTGTAATGGTGCAAGTGGCTCTGTCCGTGGTGATGTGCAAGCCAAGGTAGCGCCGCAGCTCACCAAAGTCAGTGCGTGATGGTCGAGGAGCGAGTTCTGAAAATATATTCTTCATCCTGGGTACAACTACATGGCTATATACAGGTACGATACAAGGCAGGTAGCCCAAGTGTTACTAGAATGTACCTATGTCAAATCATAATGTTCTGTAGGCTGTAGTGGGGTAGCCTATATGGGGTACACATTTCTAGGGTTGCATATTTGTACCACATTCTATTCCTTAGTGCACTCATTCTCGTTTCAACTCTCACATGGTATCAAGCAGGTTCCCTCATGGGAACTGTGCCTAGGGCCCACCAAGTCGAAAGTTTTTTTTTTCCTGCCCGGAGCGCGCTCTGCCCGAGTCGCGCTCCCTTCTCTGACTTCGTCGAGTCGCCCTAGCGGCCAAGTCGCGTTGCCTTAGCGGCCCCTGATTCGTCGCCCTAGCGACCCCGTCGCCCTACCTACGACCCCAGCCCCGTCGCCCTACCTGCACCTCGGCCCCGTCGCCCTACCTGCGCCCCGGCCCCGTCGCCCTACCTGCGCCTCGGCCCCGTCGCCCTACCTGCGACCCGGCCCCGTCGCCCTACCTGCGCCCCGGCCCCGTCGCCCTACCTGCGACCCCGGCCCCGTCGCCCTACCTGCGCACCGACCCCGTCGCCCTACCGTCGACCCGGCCCCGTCGCCCTACCTACGGCCCGGCCCCGGCCCCGTCGCCCTGCCTACGGCCCGGCCCCGTCGCCCTACCTTCGACCCGGCCCCGTCGCCCTACCTACGGCCCGGCCCCGGCCCCGGCCCCGTCACCCTACCTACGGCCCGGCCCCGGCCCCGTCGCCCTACCTTCGACCCGGCCCCGTCGCCCTACCTGCGCCCCGGCCCCGGCCCCGTCGCCCTACATGCGCACCGGCCCCGTCGCCCTACCTTCGACACGGCCCCGTCGCCCTACCTACGGCCCCGCCCGAACCGCCTACGCAGCCGAGCCGCCGGCGCCGCTCAGCAGCCCGAGCCGCCCGTTCCGCCCGAGCCGCCCGAGCCGCCCGAGCCACCCGAGCTGCCTGAGCCGCCCAAGCCGCCCGAGCCACCCGAGCCGCCCGAGCCGCCCGAGCCGCCCGAGCCGCCCGAGCCGCCCGCGCCGCCTGAGCAGCTGAGGAGCCGAGCCGCGGGTGCCGCCGAGCCGCAGTTGCTGCCGAGCCGCCCGAGCTGCCCGAACCGCCCTGTCTGGTGAGCGCAGCGCCTCTGTCACTGCACTGCCCCTGCTCTACAACCTGCTGCTAGTCTACTATTGTCATGGCTACCCCTAGTGTCCTCGCTTTTGACGCCGAGGGTCGAGCCATTGACTTTGACGTCTGGGTAGATGACCTGAAATTCCTGATTTTCAGGGATTTTTTGGTACCTACACTGATTTTTCAGTGTTGAGAATTTTGTGACACTGATTTTTCAGCCTTTATTTCATAGTTGACACTGATTTTTCAGTCTTTTATCGAAGTGTACACTGAATGCACATTCCGAATCCTTCCTCTCAACCAACATTTTCAGATTTTTAACGTACGAATACGTAAGAGATTGACGGTTTAGAGGTTTAACTGTCTCAGTGGTTAGTGATTTTCTACCGACAGGTGAGGGCCTGGTTCGAACCCTTCAACTGACATGATTTGTCAAGCCTATACTAGTACACATGGTTTTCATTTGCTTGAAAATTCAGGCTTTGATTTTTAGGAACCCTGAAAATTCAGGGTTTTTTTTTAGGAACACTGAAAATCAGGGTTTTGTTCACAGGGACCCTGATGCATCAACGTCCCTTAAAGTGAATCTGAGGGCCTGGGTGCCATGTTTGAATTGAAACGTCTCTTCCTTCATCTAATACGGTTCTGGTATGACAGCGATGTTGTTACGAATAGTAATACTTGAATATTACTGTGCACTCCTCACCGCAGCAAAGAGAAGCGCGCAGTATCGCGAATGAAAGCGAAGCGTCAGACGGTTGGAACGCATCTGAACCGTCGGAGCAGACACCATCGGACAGCTGCAGACAGGATGGTTTCGGCGGGAACAGTTTGGTAACTGTTCGCGCCGCACAGTTGGGGATGTATTTGAATAAGGGAATGTACCCCTTAGAGTACATGGCTCGTCTAGGTCTTTGTATTCCCCTGTACTATAAACTCGATGTATGCACGTCTTAATTATCTCAAGCATTTACATTCACTCTGCTACCGTCATCGCCCGGATATAAGACAGTGTTGAATAGTAGACAGGGGTTGTCTACTATACGGGTGTCTCTTATAAACAAGCTAGCCTTTTTATACGACACCTATTTGTGTGTACGAGCTAAGACATATATGTCTTATAATCAGAACCAGGGTTTAGGGGTTTTCTTATAAACAGGGGGTGTCTTCTTAGCTAGCTTTCCTACTTTAGGGGGGTACATGCATACAGTCATAAATCTCTACTTCTACCTAACCCCCCTCAGTCACCGCCTCCTCACCTGCACTAACATCAGGCTCTACACCCAGGTCTGGCACTCGCCAGGCATGCCTAGCCGTCTCCCTAGGCTCGATCATGCGGTCAGCCTCGGCCGCCGCTCCGCGGTAGTTGGGGGTCTCCTGGTACAACACCTCCAGGCCGGTTGCCACGGCCACCTCCCGCACGCCCTCCGCCTGCATCGCCTCCTCCTCCTCCTCCTCCTCTAGAGCCCGACCGAGCAGGCGCGTGTTGTCACCTGTGGTCCCCCCGAGAGGCATGTCCGCGGAGACATCGGTGGTGCTCCTGGCGCGTAGGTGAGACATCACCAGGTGGTTCTCTGTTCCGTCCAGCTTGCTCGAGATCTCACAGTGGCGGAACGGGTCGATGATGATCTGCTTGGGGACTTGATCCCAAGCCTCCGCGATCCACTGCAGCACCACGGGGTGCGGAGGCCTCCGCAGGTTCCCTACGGGTGGGACAGAGGACGGGGCAGCGAGATGTAAGAGACACGGATATGAAGGAGCATGTTTAAGACAAGGACACGAAACAGAACATGAATAAAACCGTAAATGAAGGACCAACTCACCCTTCTTCGTCTTCAGGTGAATCCCTTCACGCATGAACCACCTGGCGTAGTGCGCTCGCATAGCAGCCTTGAAGCACCGGTTGATGGAGACGTCCAGGGGTTGAATCTGGCTCGTACAACCCGCTGGGATGACTGCAAGGGTGATGCTGTGCGTGCGGTACGACTGAAGCATGGTCTGGGTGATGTGACCGCGGTAGGAATCCAACACCAGCATCGGCCGCCTTGCGTTCTGGCCGCGCTGGGGGTTCAGATGGGGCAACACCTCCTTGGACAGCCAGGTCTGCACAGCGGTCTCGTCCATCCACCCGTTGTCCTATGCTTGGACCACGATTCCTGCCAGGCACACAAGGGACAGACGGGCATCAGCACAGTGGGGCACGCTCATCAAGCAGTCGCACGGTTGAATTCACGCTCGCTTACCTTCCGGAATCTCACAGTTGGGGACGTTCTTCATCTTGAACCACACCCACGGCCGCAGCTTCTCCCCGGATGCAGTGCACGCGAGCATCACCGTCAAGCGTGTCTTCTGGTAGCCTGCAGTGCGGATTGGGACCGAGCGTGCGCCACGGTGCTCGATCATAAGTTCGGTTGGCATCTCCACGAATAGTGGAGTCTGGTCCGCGTTGATGATGCGGGCCAGGTCGATTTTGTGCCGCGCCCTGTTGATGCGCACAAACTTCCAGAAGGACTCGCAGTCCTTCGCGCACTCTGCAAACGGGACAAGCGCAACGGAAGCACGGGATGGTTAGACACTGGGTGAGGTACATGCATTCAATAGAGCGCCAGACGAAATCCTTCAACACGCACCTGCCGACAGACGTTGGCCGACCTTGGTCTTCACCCGCATCACCAGGTTCCAGCGGTCACGGAAACGCTGGCTCTAGTGAGAGCTCGCGTTCCAGTTCTTGTCGGGGTAATGCTTCTTCATCCACTCGCGGCTCCACTTCTGTGTGTCCTTCACCGAGATGGCCACCCCGTTAGCGCGCTGAAGGCAGATGTAGCGGTACAACGCTTCCTCTTTGTCGGGGTAGTGTGAGTGGCGCCCCCCCCCGTGCACCCGCTTGCGGCAGTTGGCTGCGCCCTTGTAGACGCCCGCTTCCGCCTCCGCACATCAGCGTCTGATGCAGGCGATGGACGCGGTTGACTCCACGCTTGTCTTCTTCAAGGAGCCGAGCTCCTGATAGCGGCGCGCCCACTTAAGCTTCTCACGCACGGTCCAACTGCGGCGCTTCTTCGTAGTGTCTTTGCTGCGAGGGGAAGGTGGGCGGGTGTTGGGATTATGGAGGGTGGGGTCTCTCGGCGTAACCTTCTCAGGGAACGTGGGAATCGGGCCCACCGCCGCCGCGTACTCATCGTCGCTGCCCAGCGGCTCGTTCACGGCGATGTCGTCAGGAGTCGGCGCCTTCTTCGCCTTCTTCTTAGCCGCACCCTTGCTGGATCCCGGGTCTCCGTCGGATGTCAGCTTCTTGTTGCTTGTGCGGCGACGAGCAGGGGCTTTAGCTGGGGCCTTAGCAGGGGCTTCCGCGACCTTGGCTTTCCCCTTCTCCGCAGCGGTGAGTATCGGGCGACGCTCCTCCCCCGGACCGTCGTCGTCAGAGAGCACCACGCGGGCCCGCTTTGACTTGGACTGTAGGCGATGGCGCAGCCTCCGCTTCAGTAGCGGGACGTCGTCGTCGGTCCCAAAGCTCCATGGGTCGTCGTCGCCGCCTTCCTCGCCTTCCGCATCCGCAACTGCGGCCGCATCCGCAGGCGCAAATGTCTCAAGTTCCGCCCCCGCCTCGTCGTCAGCCTCCTCATTCGCATCCACCGCCGCTTCCTGTGCATCCGCCGCTGCCTCCGCGTTGTTACCATGCGCATCTTTACCTCCGTCGTTGTCGGAATCACCAGCATGCCACTCTTCCACCTCGTCGTCGCTCCCGACCGGCCGATTCCACCAGTCGTCCTCCTCGATGTCAGCAGGACCTACATCGTCGCCTGAAGCGCTGTCGTCGTGGCCGTTCTCCGGCCAATCCTCCTCGGCGTCGTCGCCGTTCGCTTCGTCTCCGTCGTCCCCGTCACAGCTCGCACCGGAGGCGGCGGTAGGACTTGCCGCCTTGCTCGCGTTCTTCGCCATGGCTACACGGATGTCATCGCCGAGCGAGCTAATTCGCCCGTAGTTATTAACCTGCACGTGAGGACGAGGTGAGGACTTGCCTACAGGTACTTTGCTGCGCATGGTTAGAGAGCTGCCGAGAGCAAGGTTGAGACGAGTATTCAACCTCCTTGAGCACGAAATGAAGTGAGAGCCCGACTACCCCCCCCAGCCAGAGTGCCCCATCCACAGGTGCCGAGCCGCTCCTCTACGAGGCATCTCCTCGTAGAGGACAGCCCTCACGCTGCCAACGTGCTGCCAGCAGCGTTATGGAAGCATCCATGCGCTCCTGGCAGCAAAACGACGCTGGCAGCATCATTAGATGCTGCCAGCACAGAGGAATGTTTCCAGCGGTGGCAGCTCCCTCACGTGGAAAGTGTGGGCGCTGCATGCATCACCACCGAGGTCGGCCTGTTTAAATGAAATTGGTCTTTGGGTGGTTTCTACACACTTTGCAAGTGTTACAGTCAACTTAAAATTTTTTCCATTTATAAGACTTATAAGACACCCTAAACCATCCCGTTTACAAGATAACTCAAGCTTTGCCCGTGTACGAGATAAGACATATATGTCTTATATCCGGGCAATGACGGTATTGAGGTCAAGGGCCCACCAACACCACTTCTCTGCGTGCGAACCTTCCTGAGTAGATCCTAGGTCACGATCAACTTGTGATCGCAACATGGTATGAGAGCGACTCAGGAATCCTTCGCACCGCCATCTCCGAATTCTGCGACATTCGGAAAGTGGCGTCCGGCACACGATCACGTGTAAGAATGGCCGGAGGATCTGGAGGTCAGACGAATCTGACGGCTGAAGCGCAGCCCAACCCGGCTGCGACAAACGAGGAAACGACGACGATTCCCTCCGCCGTCCTCGCACAACTGCTTCAGCGACTCACGAGCCTGGAGCAAGGGCTCCAAACATTGCGGAATGGCGATGCGGGAACTTCCTCCCAACCCACTCAACCGGCCCCAAACGGCCACAACTCCGCCCCGCAAGGCTTCTCCCTAGATACGAACGGCTCAACCCCCAAGACTCCCTGTCCCAGCGATGAAGCAATTCTCTCCGCGCAATCAAGGTTTTTGAGCATATAAAAAATAGAGACAAGTGTGTGCTTTGACGGCAGGGACTTTTACACCTGGAGCTTCGAGTTAGAACTGCTGCTGCAAAACGCGCAGATTTATCATTACTTCGACGGGAGCTACTCGGGACCTGCTGAAGATACCGACGACGCAATGACTCACTATTATAACGAGTCCCTGATGGCGTACAGGATTCTTTTGCGTAACATGTCGCCGGCGGAACAGCTGAACATCCGTTCATACAAGACATCGACCGCCCCAGCCCTCGACGCTTGGCGCCACCTGAACGACGTGGCATCAGCCATGAGTACAAGGCCTGGATCGTGCTGGACCTCCTCAGTCAGAAAATTGCCCACGCTCGCGACGTCATCTTCTACGAGCGCCTCTTCCTCGGCCAGTTCCGCCGCGACGAACAAACGAACGCGGACCACGTCTACGCTAACGATGGGCACAGCTACGCAACGCCCGAAGACGAAGCCGCTGCAGCAATCTTGGAGCAGGACACGAAGGGTGAGTTCGTGTGGGAAGAACGACGCAGCAACAACGACGATGACGATTCCTCGGGAGGAGGAATGGGCGCAGCAGGCGGAAGCGGAACAGGCGGAAGCGGCAGAGGCACAGCACCACCAGCGCCTCCTGAACCAGAAAGTGATGACGACGACGTACAGGAAGTCATCCTGCAACGTCGCCACGACACCACTATCTCAGGACTGCAAGTGCTCGGGCTTCACACCGCAACTTCGAAGGCGCCACGTGTCGTCGAGCCCCGAAATCCTCGCGAAGCTCTTTCTGGACCACACAGCAAGGAGTGGCGTGAAGCAATGGATGCGGAAATCCGGGCACTCGAGTCGCGCGACACCTGGGTGCTCGTCGACCGTACAGCAGTAAAGGGGAGAAGGATTCTCTCCGGCAAATGGGTCTTCCGAGTGAAGACAGGAGCCGACGGAAGGATTGAGCGATTCAAGGCACGCTGGGTGGTACACGGCTACGATCAAAGGCACGGGATTGACTTTGACCAGACATTTGCACCAGTCAGCCGTCACACGTCCGTCAGAATTCTCCTTGCCATCGCAGCCGCACGACACCTACCACTATGGCAGATCGATGTGAAGAATGCGTTCCTGTGCGCATTAGTGGATGCCGTGATCTACGTGGAACAGCCACACACTTACGGCGACGGAGACCCACGTGTCTGTCAACTACGCAAGTCCCTCTATGGGATCAAACAGGCACCGAGACTCTGGCAGCAGTATCTGCACAATATACTGCTTGAAATCGGGTTCAAGCAGCTACCTCACGATCCTGGAATGTATCGCTGCGATTTTCGTGGCGAATACATCCTCCTCACGGTCTACGTCGACGACCTTCTCTACACAGGCTCAAGCAACAAACTGCTCGAGCAGTTTGAGAGAAGCCTCGCAGGGCGCGTCGACATCACCTGCAATCATGACGTGAAGCAGTTTCTCAGACTCAACATCACCTACTCGCCGGAAGCCATTCATCTCTCAGCAGCGAAGTATGCGGAGGAGCTTAGCAAGCGCTTCAACATTGCGCCTACACCACTTTCCACTCCCTACCGCACTCCAGGACCCAACCACAAGCCTGACAGCAAAGCCCTGTCCCCTGCTGGGCTTCACACTTACCAGCAGCAATTGGGATGCCTTCTCTTCGCATCCGTTACCTGCAGGCCCGACCTCTCCTACATTGGGAGCCAGTTGGCTCAGTACTCACGCAAACCAACGGCTGAGAATCTTTCAGATCTTCAGCAAGCCCTTCAATTCTTCATCTACACGCCCAATGTCGGACTCAGTTATTCCACCATCCCAACCACATCCTTCAGTCTCATCGGCTACGTGGATGCCGATCACGCCACTGACCCTGACAATCGACGGTCCAGGACAGGGTTCCTCTTCCGCCTCGAGCCCAGCGGCCCCATCTCCTGGAACTCTCAGAAACAGGAGCTGGTTGCCCTGTCATCGGCGGAAGCTGAATTCATCGCAACAACAGCAGCTATTTGCGAAGGTCTCTACCTTCAGGAACTGCTGCAGGAAGCAAAAATCCCGGCCTCAACAAACTTTCGCCCACACTGCAACAACCAGAGCGCGATTCGGATCGCGAACAAACCTGGTTTCGTCAACCGCACCAAGCACATTGCGCTGCGGTACTTCTTCGTGAAGGATGAAGTGGACAAGGGCAAGGTCAACTTGACCTACTGCCCGACCGGTGACATGGCAGCAGACTTCCTCACGAAGCGACTGCCACGCCAGCAGTATCAGCACTGCTCCGAACTCAGTGGCGTGGTCAACCAGGTCAAGTTGTTGCGGCCAGGAGTGAAGGGGGGTGTTACGAATAGTAATACTTGAATATTACTATGCACTCCTCACCGCAGCAAAGAGAAGCACGCAGTATCGCGAATGAACGCGAAGCGTCAGACGGTTGGAACGCATCTGAACCGTCGGAGCAGACAGCATCGAGCAGCTGCAGACAGGATGGTTTCGGCGGGAACAGATTCATAACTGTTCGCGCCGCACAGTTGGGGATGTATTTGAATAAGGGAATGTACCCCTTAGAGTACATGACTAGTCTAGGTCTTTTCGTATTCCCCTGTACTCTTATATAAACTCGATGTATGCACGTCTTAATTATCTCAAGCATTTACATTCACTCTGCTATTGAGGTCAAGGGCCCACCAACACCACTTCTCTGCGTGCGAGTCTTCCTGAGTAGATCCTAGGTCACGATCAACTTCTGATCGCAACAGATGTTGGCTTAGAAACTATGGCATTACAATCAAAACGTGTGCTGTGCTACTGTACATACAGTACCCCATCCCACATGGGGTTTTGAGTCTCCCAGCTTGTGATCAGTTTGTCTGTTGGAACACCAGTTCGTGAGACTTGCACGTGCCCTGAACTGTCCACCTTCATCTGAACAACATCAAGCATGTCTTGTAGCATTGCTGCAACCGGCCAGAAGAGGTCGAACTCCTGCCCTCCTTCAAAATAGAATCCATGCTTTTCCAATATGCAACCTAGTGGTTGTTTGGCTCGCCCTTGTAATTCCAGCTGGAGTGAATCGAGGAAGTCAACCCAGGTGCAGTGTTTTTTTTTTGGATTTTCACTACTCGAATTTCCAGAGCTGTTTTCTAGGGAACTCTGAAATTGATCAGAGAAAACTTAACTTCTGAAAAATATACTCTGAATGACCTCTCAAGTATTGAACCCTGACATTCTCCTACCAAAGCTGTAACCATTGTGCTACACGCTCACTATCTACCGTGATGACAATTTTTTTTACAAAGTTTGCCTTACCATCTTCCACCAATTGGGGGGGGCCTCGGTCGAAATGCCTATACCCTGTACAGAGAAAAATACATTTGCCACAAATATACACAGGTCTCTCAGAGTAGCTAAAATCAGAACCCTGACAAATCAGAGAAAACTTATCTTCCAAAAAAATTACCCAGACACGTCAGAGTGACCCCCTAAAAACTACTCTGCTTTTCAGAGAAACAGAGTAATTTACTCTGATAAAAAAACCCCTGCCCAGGTGCCTTTGCGTAGCAAGATTGTTGCCAGAACTTGATAAACAAGATGTCTCATCCTTGATTGGATAAGCGCCAAGCTTCTCATGTTTTGTGGCGATGAAACAAGCTGCATCGTTCGCTGCTGTGCTATCCCCGCTCGAACAGCTGGTGTGACGTCCCTCAGATCCTTCAGTAATGACCAAGCAGAGTTCAGCTGCACCACATTTGGCAACACATCTCCCAGGTCCTTGAGGCTTTTCAAGCCGTAGTTCGTGTGAAAATAAGTGATAGAGTAAAGGCGCCATAGCTAGGAAAGACCTAGCTAGGCAAGAATAGTTTAGGCAAAAAGAGAGGGTTTCACTAGAAAGCAGCAGGATACATAAAGGAAACCCTAAGGGGTTGTACTCACTATAGAGTACCCCTCTGCAGGCTAGAGAACAGTAACATTCTGACACACCCCCATAGCCAAAGTG